AGCTCTCTCCCCCCCCCCCCCCCCACTGCCTTTTCCTCTTATCTTGTGGTGGAGTAGAAGATAATGGTAAAACAAGTTTCAGAAATAAATGCACTAAAGAGCATTTCTCTGCAAGCTTTGTTTGTGGTTTCTTCAGACCACAGGATGAATGTGCTGCTTCTCTTTTCCTCCCATCTCTGTTCATTGACAAATGATATCCTATCATGACTTTTTAGGTGGGTAGATGGTGGATAAATGGAGGAGTAAAAAGTATAGTGGTCTGCTCTGATTCCCTCTCCACTGTGTGCTAATTTACACCCTAAATATATATGAACATACAGTCCCAACATGTAAGCTGGGAATACCTCATTTATAGGGGTTTATTTCTCATGTTGAAAAATGCAAATTTAGTCAGTTCAAGTTAAATCTGGTGTAAAAACATAATTGATTCCACTGTTCATGACCTAATCCATGCAGAAGCACCAGTCTGTGTTTGATTGAAACTGAGTTTAAAGATTTTGGACCCATCTTATTCCTTAATCGTACAGAGGGGGTGTCAAGGAAGTGAAGGGTCTTGCTGGGGAACTTCTATACATTGAAGAGTAGCATAAATGAAGTCAGAGATCCTGCACAATTGTAAAGATAACTTCCAGAGTAACTGGCTCACAGAGAAAGTAGAAGTTGTGTCTCTATTCAAAAGTGGTAGTGAATTAAAATCTAATTAAGAATCCGTAATGATGCATGTTTAATTGTTTGCATAGCAAGACTTTCTTGTAGAACTGAACAGGATGAAGTACACCAAGCCTCCTAATCAAACATAGATAAGTGGATTTGTTTATATGTGTTTCCAAGGCCTTGGAAGTGAGCTGTGTGGAGCAGACAGCATGAAGGTTATCTTGTTATGCATATGGGAAAATATGACTCTTTTTGTATCATATTTTGCCATTACTTTTTGCAGTGGAAAAACAGTGGACTAGCAAATTAAATATTCCTGTGCCTCACTGTCATGCTCTTGCACCATAAAACCTGTCCCACTGACTCAAGTGAAAGTATTTTCTAAGGGCAAGTTTGTAGTTTTAGAAATTCTGAAAGCTTTGAAGACAGTAATTCATGCCAGTCTGGCTTCAAACCAACTGCCAAATAACTAAGGAAACACTAGGAATATGTCTCTCTGTCTTCTAGTGGAATCTGCATTAACTTGGGTCCTCTAAGGTCCATGGCAGAGTAGTCTGAAATTTTCTACTAACATTTTTTCCATGAAAAATGAATTCTTATTTGAAGAGAATATTTAATTTGCATCTATAAATACTTTAACTTAGGTTAAAGATGCAACATTCAATGAAAAACTGGAAATAGAGTGTATTTTAGACTTCAAGCCAAATTGTTTTTGGTTTTCAGGCAGATAAAAGATTTTTTTTTTTTCCAGAAGGCACATTTTTAGCAAGGACTTTTGGAGGAGGCAGAATATTTCAAGGGATTTTTTGTGAAAATGGTGTACTTTAAAGAGGTTCTTGTCAACCTGATTTCACCAGCTGAAAGTAGCTCCATTTAGCAGTGAGTCATTAAGAAAACCTGAAAGATAAGAGAATTAAAAGGGGTATATACTATTTAACTTAAACTTTTTCCATATCTTTACTTCAGGGGGAGGGGGTTTCCAGTGCAAATATTCTGTCTACAAATGGAACAGCTCATGTGAATTGGCAATATTTCCTGCCAGAACGTCATGTTACACCACTTATTTATATAATGCTGTTATCAATATAGTTAATCGTATTTAATTTCAGTACTTAGAACAATGCAGCACAATAAATTGTGCTTAGAGGCATTTCCCAACATAAATGATTGTGTGAATCTGCAGTCAGATGGACTCAGCTCAGTTTTGACTTCACTGCATTTGGAATTATGTTGTAAGATGCTCCTTCTCAACAACAGTTTTTACATCCCTGAATTAACAAACTGTTTTAGAAATAAGTCAAAATAACAGTAGAATAGTTCTGCATAGTTCAGTAATAGTTCTAATGCAAGTTCTGTAAGTGCTAGTGTCTGTCCAGCTTACACACAGACATTTATAAAACCTCATGCCACAGCCACAAACGTTAACCAGAATTTCAGCCTGAAATGTGTAACTGGCCACGCTGTATTTGTGTGCAGGAACGATTTATTGGTCATTCTGAGAGATAAAGACACACTTAGTGAGGAAAACACCCACTCAGATACTCATGCACACCTGTGCCACCATCCTGCTCAGGTACTGTGCAGGCCAACAGTTTCTGAAGACACAAGGTTCTTGCAACCAGCATGCAGGCAAGGAACAGGAGGCTGGGGGAAGAGTTCTTCCTGGAATCAGTTCTCTTGAGTAAGGCAGAAGGAGCTGAAGAAGGGAGAGGAGACAACGGGTCTTTAAGCCTGCAGAGACTAAAGGCAGGGTGCTCTCAGTTCTCATGATATTGTGGTTATTCTGCCACAGTGATTTCCATGATGATTACTGCCCCTAAATTCAGTGTCCCTCTATAAGAAGTTTGCATTTCCAGGCAGCTCTTAGCTTTTGACTTCTTAAATATATTAAAAAGGAAGCATCCAAAGCAATAAAGCCAGAGGAAAAAATGTATTTCTGCTAAAATCATTACCTAGAGTAGCTTTACTTCTCAAGGATCCTAGTAGCACTTAGCAGGCCCATTTTAACTTCATCCTGCTTTTTTAGTATGGACCTGTAAGAACTGCTTAGATTTAGGCAATAAATATCCTGTTAGTCATTCTTTATTAGTGTTTTCATATTGAAGAGCAGGATGGGGAATAAATGAATGTGCCTGCTTATTTTGGACATCTGAATTTTAAGGATAGTTTTTTTTTTTTACTACTTCCATAGAGGCCAGCAAGAATCCAGGCAGGAGATCTTTTGTCTTCCTCTTCCTCTGGGGAAGCTGGCCTTTGGAAGAAGAAAATTTTCTTACATGAAAATTAGTTGCTTGGATGCAAATGTTAAAAATAAAAGTTTAATGAAGAAGTTTTCACCAGTCAGAGCTGGAATTCTGCATCATAGTGCACAGAATTGACATAATTTGTTTTTTTTCATTTGTATTTGCAGATTCATCTAGGGACAAATGCCCAGTAGGGAGTAAGTGGTCTCTGTCCAAAGTATTTTGCTATCTGTTTTGGAATCCTTAATGCTTAATCACTTCAAGCATATTTTCTGTTTTTCTCCAGTTTCACAGTTAATGTTATTGAGACACTGCTTCAGATATATAATCTGGTTTTTTATCCTTCTTCTTTAGCTTTAAGGTTTGTTTCGGGCTTTTTTTCCCTTAACCAGCAATCTTCTGAAAAGCAGAAAATTCATTTATATGACTTTGATGTATGTATAACACACAATATATTCTCCCAGGTCTTTTTCCTCCTTGACTTCTGCTGAGCTCCCTTACCTTGAAATAAATTGTAAGTAATTTTGTGGAAACTTAAAACCTTGTTGTGGTATAAATGAAGCTTTAAGCTTGCAGATAGCAAAGTATGTGATCCTAGATGTTCCTGTAATTTTTAAAAGCTAATCAGGTCTGGCTGGAGAGTTTCTGTTAGGACTGAATCTAAACAGTCTGTTAAGACTGATTCTAAACAGAATTTGCTTCTCCCACATAAATCTACTTACACAAAAGGAATTTCTGCATAACTTAGTTTTCCCTTCAATAGGCCACTGGATGTAGGATTCCTCTGTTGTCTCTGCCTTTGCTACTCACCTGAAATTATTTTCAAGACGTATTTCTTTCAGACTGTCTACTTGTGGTCCCTCATAGGACCTCCAGCCTGCCTCAGATCTCTCCCTCTGGAATTAAATTCCCCACATCCACTCTGTGGTGTACAATCTCCTAAGATGAAGAGTGATGAGAGATCATGTGCACCATGAGAGAAGTGAATTCAGGCTGTGTGGAAGAGGCTTTGATGATGCATTTCATCACAAGATTTTCTGACTTGCATGTTTTTACTTGAAAAGCCAAAACTGGAGGAATGAATGTGCCCTTTTTTTCATCCAGTTGTGTCTAGGTGTCCCATATGGTTAGTCCAAGCTTTATAATGCTTCCATGAGAGCTTAAAGGTTGTCTTAGTCATAGTTGAGAAAAAAACAGGTATTTTTTTGAACGCACAACTTTGTATCTCTGCTAGTTGTTTTAAGTGTGTGACCTGAATTTTTACATTGGATGGTCATAAAATATTTATTTTTAAATAGCTAGAAGTAACATTGAAGTCCACTGATCAAGTCATCTTTCTCAGGAGTGACCTCCTCTGCCATTATTTGCAGATTTGTGTCTGGTCTGTTCTTCCATGATGGCAGAACTGCACTGCCATTGCAGCCAGGAGTTCAGTGCTCCACCTTCTTTATCTTTGGGTGGGTTTTCATGTCCAGCTTCTGACATGTTTGCTTCTTGTGGATTGTACTATGTGCATAGGGAGCATTTTTCTCCAATCCTGTACCTAGAAAACTTCTATGCACTTGAGTTTGGTATTTTGCTGTCCTTGGTCTTAGCAGTGACATTCCTCTGTCATTCTCTATAGGTCCTGCTGGTTTGATTCTTCCTTGATGGACTACTTGGAGATAATTATATTAAATAAACTGTAACTTTCCAATTGAAATGGATTCTGCAGCAGAGTTCACTGCCCAACAGGATGAATACTTGTTTGAAAGCAGGGCAGAGAAATCAGGAACAGAATATCTTCCTTGTAGCAATACATTTTAGATTTAGGAGCTTTTCAGCACAATGCTGAAATATAACTATCTCTGACACTAAGTTATTTCTGAAGAGGTAATGTTCATGTGTCAGGCATGCTACACTGCAGCTGTGGATTATTTTAACAAAGATAGTTTGCTTGTAGCAAATAAATATTTCTTGTTGAAAAAGTATGCAATCTATTTTTTATTTTGTGGTGGTTGTAAGAGATAAGTGTTCTCTCTCATAACAGTGTTTTGGATAAATCCAAGGTGACCTGGGTATTAAGTAAGCTTACTGTATTTTTCAGCTGATGATATGCTTTGAAGTGTGCTGCAGAAAATTTGTACCTGTAGACACATGTTAAGAGAAATATTTCCTTGAAACCTGAAAACTGAAGAGATATGAGGGCAGGAAAAACAACTCTCTAGGTTTTTAACTATAACAGTTGGGAAGTATGGGGTTGTCACACATCATGACTTGTGAAATCTGTGGCTCAAATTACTCTGTACTTCTAGAGTTTGGTGATTTGCAGTAGACCTGACTGGAAATGATGAAAATGCCTTTTGGAATATTAATGGTGACCTGCCTTTTGCAGACCCATCCAAAATTTACCTCATAATTAATGGGCAGAAACCTCATAAATCACACATCCTTGTTTAGTATTTGGAGCTATGCTTGTTTGCATCAGGTCATGATATGACCCATTTTGCATAGTGCAGTGTGATTGTAGCTAAAAGAATGGAAATCAAAGGTCTTAAGAGAATTGATTTTGTAAGCCATTCATTTTCTAAAGGAGATGGATGAGTGAATAGAACTACCTATGTTATTTGAAACTGGCCTTGAGGTAATTACTGAGTGCTGATTCTGTAATGTGGGACAAATTGCAGTTTTAATCTTTCATGTTATTACCAGCATTTGCAAAGTATCAGGACACTGTAGGAATTATGATGAACTCTATCAGCTTTAGAAGGTGCCATAAGGATTAAGAATTTTTGCAGATGCTCTAATTAAATTTTCTGCTGTATTGAAGACACTTGCTGTGTAGCAAGTTTTTATGATGTGTATAAAAGGTGGGGCAACTTACAAGAAGGTGAGGCTCTCATGATGCATGGAATTTCATTTTGTGGTATGGAAGTATTTAGAAAGCATGGTGATGTTTGCTGAATTGTACTGTTTGCTAACTGCAAACAACTTTATCAAGGTGTATATAGTGACTTTTTGTTCCACCATCTTTAATCTGTTTTTGTATTTCTGTTCTTTCACTTGCAAGGGGATATCTATTCCTTGCATATTTTTTCTTTTTTCCTAAAGAAGTCTAATGGACTGTACAGAGGCAGGCACTAGCAGCACTTATTATCTTGGTTAGCTTGGCCTGTTCCTGAAGTTGTGGCCTTCTGAGAAATTGTTTAAAAAAAAAACAAAACTAATACATTTTGAGTCTGGGATGTATCTTGCCAAGACTGTCTTTAAGCTGTGTTTGTCCCATTGATTTTTGGTGTTTTTAAACCTGGTTTTAAGTTAGTGTCCTTGCTAAGTTGAAACTGATGGCCTGGTTTGTTACCTCATACCCTGGTGCCAGCCAGGAGTGAGCTGTGTTGAATAATGGAGGTACAGGTGTGTAAAAGCAGTATGAAAGGAGGATTTTATCCAGACTACTACTCCAGTGTAGTTTGATTGTGGCTTTCCATCTGATCCACTTGTGGGCGGTTATATACAGTGAGACCAAAGATTCATCTGGCTCATAAACTGTTTTTAAGACTGTTGTTGGAAACGTCATGGAAGGGATTAAGAAACAGGGCAATTATGGAGTGATATTTTCCTTTGTGTGTCTTCTCAGCTACTGAATGTTGGTCAGACTTTCTGAGCTAGAAATTTTCTTCATAAGAGAAAGAGATTACAGCTGTTCAGACAGCTGTAATGGGCAAACCCCCTTGTTATGTGTGACCAGAATTCCCTGTGACAGCGTTTTCTGGCCTTGTTAATTATCCAGAGCTGCTGGCACAGGTGCTCTGGCAGACTTTGGTGCCTCTTGGAGTGTGGAGTGTGGCTTTCCCCAGCAGAGAGGGCGTGGGGTTCATAAGGCACCCCTGACAGCTGTACCTTAAAATTCAGGCAAGACCCACTCTGAGGGAGGAGCTTCCTAAGGTGACTTGGTGCTGGGCTTAGACATGCCTTGGCTTCTCTCAGAGTGTTTTTTCTTCTCCTGCTTGTAACACTGCTTAGGGAGATTCTGACAGGTTCTTTGGCCATGTAGCCAAAGTTATTTCAGTTCTGGAAAGTATTTAAACAACAGTCCTGGGATGATTGGAGTGATAAAAGAGACGAGGGAGGGAGAGGAAAATTACCTAAGTTTGGAGATTTTTTCACATGATTTCAGAGGGGCTGGGTGATTTGCTCACCAAAACCTTAGTTTGGTTTTAAGTCAATGGCCTATTTGCAGTAAATTTATACTTACATGCAGTGTGGGAAGTCTAACAGCCAGGCCCGTGGCTATCAGAGAAATCACCTTGTCATGGGAAGCTGAGTTCTGTGAAGTTCTTAGAAGATGCTGTGCTCCAAGAGTGCCAGGTTTGAACTTAAGCACAGAGTAAAAGAGACTGTTGCTCTGTCTATGTGACCAGAGCCTTTTCGGCTTAAGAAGCTGTGTAGGGAAGCCTAAGGTCTTGTTTCCTCATATTCTACCTTCACATTCATGCTGGGCTGAGGTCTTTTCTCTGAAGACAGCATAAGTCCCATATTTAAACAAGTTTCACTGGCCTCTGTGGCCAGTTGGAGTTGTTTCAGGTTATGCCAGTCCTACTGGATCACAACCAGGCTATATTCTTTTATATTAGTCAAATGCCTTACAAAATCTTTTGTTCTGTTAAAAATTTTCAGACAAATTTGAGTCTGCTTTAGGTAGACCTCCTTAGATAAGAACTACATAAGAACTCAGCTAAGAACTACATAAATTCAATACAAATATATGAACTTGACTTTAAATTACTCTTGCCTTTACCTGTAGTTCTTGTGTTTTCTTGTTCATGTTGATTGATTGTCTGTATTTCTTTTCAAACTGCCTGTTTTTTGCTTTGAGATTCCATTTCAGAGCTAGTTTTGTCTTTTTCCCTTCTCCCTCTTTCTTTTCATCATCCCATTTGTAATGTCTTTAGTGCAGCCCATCAAGGGTAAGCATTTTCAAAAAGCTTTTTCTTCTAAGCTTTGGTGCCTTATTGAGGAGATGGTTGCTAAGATATTGTGCAAAGCATCATTAAGAGGGTCTGATTTGCTTATTTCCTTATTTTTTTTCCATGCACAGGTTTCAGATCAGAATTTATGGGTAAATGGGATAGCAGCATCCCAGGATATTCCTGAGCTGAGATTGTAACCATGGACAGAATAAAAGGAGACTGCCCCAGTCCTGTGCAACCAGGAGATGCAGAGAGGACCAGGATGGGAGAACAAGACCCAGAACTAACTGTATTGGGAAAAGCACAAGAGTTCTTTCAGATTTGTGATCTGGAAGGCAAAGGCTTTGTCACTCGTCAAGACATGCAGGTAAAACCAAATTGGTTATGTGAAATACACAATGAGAGAAGTTCCTAAAGCCGTTAGCGAGTTGAGACTGATTGATTAATTTAGAGTTAAAAATATTAACACCCTCCTCATAACTTTAAAGAGATATGTAAGATTTAGAATAATATATTTGAAGTCTTACATAATGCTTGCATTTTTTTTCTCACAGACAAAGCAACAAAAAAGTGGAAAATCAAAGTACATTAAGTTTAAAAAAATGCCCCAGGAATTCAATTCTATTCTTGCTGAAAACATTGAAACACCATTAAATTCATTACTTTCTAATTTGCCACAGTGTCAGGAGCGTATTCAGTCTGACAATTTTATCCTTCTTTTTTCAGCAAAATTGTGTAAATAAAGTCTTTCACTGTGGCTTCACTGTCAGACAATTGTGAACTCTCAGCTGGATAACATATATATGTAGGAAGTATAGAGGAACAGTATTTTTAGCATTATTCTGTGTTGGTAGAAATCGTAGGAAATTGTGCTTAATTTGTTTGAGGGCCCAAAATCATATCTGCTGAATATGCTGATGAGAAAAAGCAACTATATATAACAAAAGCTTTTGAAAATATGATTGTGGCACATTGCAGAAGTGATAAGATGATTTGAACCAGTATGTGGCAGAAAACAGGAATGTACTCATGCTTGACATGCAAAGCATAATTTGTTTTAATCCATTCCTACTTCAGTACTTATGGATGAAACAGAATTGGGGAGCAGGAGCAAAACAAATTCATCATGATCTACTACTAAAGAAAGCATCTAACAGAGAATTTAGAAACTTTCCCTGTCCTCAGAAACAAAGATGTCTGTATGTATGAAAACACAGTTGAAACAACTTTAACCACTTACTTTGGAAAAGCAAAAACCTCCCAAATAAACTGCTCAGTTTGCTAGCTCTCAAGAGCTTTCTTTGCAGTTGTGTGTTGCTGAGTTTTCTGATGATCTCTGTTAATTATGCAAAGTTGAAAAAAGAGAGGGATGCAGATGCTTGCTCTGCTTAGGCTTTGCCAGTCTACATTATCTCACTGAAGTAACTGAATGCAGAAAACCAAATGTATTGCCAGTGGTTGTTTTTGGTAAATCCAAAGCCACAGAGAGTTTAATGGATTACAATTGTACAGACTTTCTAAAAACTGAATGGCATATATTTTTACCTAATGGAAAAGCTGTATATTTATATGTATGTATACATATATAAAAAGTTTTAATAACTGTTTTTGCAAGGAATATAAAATTGTTTGTTTCTGTTTGATTCTATGTTTATGCTAAATTTATACTTGAGGATCTAAAAGAGATGTTGCAAAAGATGCAGTAGAAACAGGGTTGCAAAGATCAAATAAAGTTCTATTTCATTCTTCTATTTCATCATGAGTGTTTCTTTACTATATCTGAAAGCTTCATCTTTGTATGTATGTGTATGTAAGTTCTTTAATACAGAAATAAAGGTGTTCAGGACATTTGAGATGGTGTTTCTTTATACTTGTTTTTATTTCCTGCATTTTTCATGATGTTTGCTCCCTATAAAAAAACATAAATCAGTAAAAAAATCAGATTTTCTTTAAAAGGTACTAAGTGTTGATTACTTTTGCATTGCTCTGTTTGGTAGGTCTGTACTGCTTTGCTTCAAATATAGGATGCTAATGCTAAGCTTTTTAATCTTTAGTCATGGGATACAAGGCACGATTTCAACACAGAGTGCTAAGTATCTGAAATTCAATTAATCTTAATGAAACAAATCTTGCAGTGTTTTCTCTTGTGTCTATAACAGTAGCTACACTAAAGATTTACTCCTCCTCGATTGTATGATGATGTTTATTGTGAGAAGATTTTAACAGCTGGGTTTTTTTAAATTTTTCATTAATTTTCCAAATATGAAATATACCCAACTTTCAAACCAAGAGGTTTTCTGAAATGGCAAGAAAGCAAATTCTACCTTGGAATTGAAACCGCAGTTTCATCTGTTGGTCCTTGAGGTTATAATGAATAATGAGAATTAGTGCTGTAAAATGTTTTGTTCTAATGTGCACGGGAGGATTGGGTTCAGATCTTGCTCTTAGCTATTTGACCTCTGTGATTTTATTTAGCTGAGTAAAAGCTTGGTATTTTGAGAGAATTAAGCACAGATGTCATGAAACCACAGAGCACATTTGGTGGCAGTGCAGATAGCTTCTTTTGAAGGTCCAGTGGTATCTCTGAATATGTTTTATTTTGTTTTCTGTTCTTTCAAAAATTTTAAGAGCCTCAGATTGAAAGGGCCTATGTATTTTTAAGTAAGCTTGAAATGAACAAATAAACAAAAACACAACTATGAGACCAATAATATTTTGCTTTCCTAGCCACAAACTACCTTAATTATTTTATTAAGAAAATACCCCAAGAGGTTGGGAAAATATTGCCTTAGCCTTAGTAAGTGTGTTCCAGTTCATAAAAGTCTGTAAATTATGCAGAGGAAATTTAATGGAGCAAAATGTTGGTAGATTCCTTAGACTCTCCTATTTTCATACCTTCTTTTTTTTTTCTTTTCCCCCCAAAAATGCAAGTAATTGTGGTGTTTTCAATTGTAAATTTAGTGTAATTCCTATCAAAATTTGGACACTGCATTAGGGCACTGTGGCTGTGGTTGGAGAAGCCCATATTTGTCAGTCAGGTTTAGAGCAAGACCTGCAGGCCATTGCACTAAAATAGAATGTTTTTGGCATGGTGAAATGGGTGCTCCTTCAGCAGGTCCCAAAAGTCTGCTGGTAAGAGAATAGTTTCTGTTTTTCTGAACGTGAAAAGAGTCATTTGTTTGAAGCACCTTCTCCCTCATCAGCGCCGTGTTGGCTGTAAGAACTTTACAGGAGAAGCTGATTTAAAAAAGTTTCCCTTTAGATCTTAGAGATTGAAATCCAAACTTTGGGAAGATGGGTGTGTAAATAAGAAACTGAAGACAGGTGTATCACTGATGAAATAAGTCATTTAAACTGAGTATATATCAAGTTTTCCTAAGTTTTTTTTTTTGGAAGCAGGCAGCAATACACAAGTAATCTTGCTCAAAAATCCCTTTGTGACAATTCCAGATAGTTCTGTGCTTTAGGAGCTCTGTTGCTTTCACTTCTCAGGACCACCTTGGAATTCCTTTTACCACTCTTCCATTTAACCCATACAGTTCATAAAACCTACCCTAAACCCTTTGTGGCAACTGGGGAACTCCTGGGTAATGTGCTCAGCCAATTCTTGCCTTGTGTATATGGCTTAGTATATTGAATAGTGCTTTCTGCTGTTTTGGATTGCAGGAGAAACATTTTTTGGCCCTAAATCCCTCCCCCACAGTGGAACAGATCAGCACTTTTAATCTAATGAACTTTATCAGCCTACTAGCTTGCAGTTTTAATATGTTGTATATACAGCAGGAGTTCGGGGGGGATTAAAATGTTAATTAATAAAGCAGAGGCCTGAACTAGTATGCATTTATATTGCTTCTCAAGCTGAGGAAAGGTTTTAATTTTCCTAGTGCTGTCTCCCAGTGGAAATGCTGGTTATTGAGGTTGTTTGCCTCTCCATATTCCTCCTGTTTCTGGGAATCTGTCTACACTGTTAAAAGAATTTGAGTAAAACCATTAGAATCTGTTTTATGGGATTCTTTTCTTTTATGCCTGTCTTTGGATTATCAGGAAAAAAATATGTGATATTTGTGGAGCTAGTTTTATGAAGCTGTGTCTTTTTTGGTGTGAGCATGCTACATTTCAGAAGTAGACAGTCATGAACTCCATTTAACTCATTGTGGGAGCAACAGGTTTGGTGCTTAGACCACGCAGCTTTCTTAGCTTTATTTACTTATTTATATACACTTCTTTAATGAGCTTGAATTAGGACAGTATATCCTCTATAATGTAGTCGTTGAGAGAGTCTCTTGCTTGACTTTGACATGGAAGGAGCTAGTACAATTCTGCTGCTGAGTTTGTCCAGGAGTCTGATAACCAAGGCATTTCACCAAGTTAAGCAAGCCATTTCACCAGGATGCTGGGTCTCCACCTGAAGTTCTTCGTCTTCCCTGTGTGATTGGAATTTGTGGCACCAGGCGGTTGTTCTTCTTGGCGTCATCATAATGGATTCATAAAGGCAAATCAAGAAGTCATTAAAGCAAATGTCCCTCAGTTGATCTGGTTTTTCTCTGTAATTGGATTTTTCACTCGGGGAAGCAAGTGACCTATCCTGCTGTACTATGGATGTTTTGTAGAACCCAGTCTTCCTCTTATCCTGTAGGAACGGATAAAGTTGCTGCTGTTTTGTCATTACAGAGGCTGCATCCTGAGTTACCTCTTAGCCTGGAAGAACTTGAAAAAGTTTTTGTTACATTGGATGCTGATGGCAATGGCTCACTTACCCCAAAGGAGTTCATCACAGGATTCAGTGAGTTTTGGAAAGCATGTCTCCTCTTTTGAGCTTTATTCATGTTCCATACTCTCCACATCAATCAAGAAGAATTTTGTCTTAGCAGTACACTTAATAATGCACACAGGGAGCCAGACTATTCCCGAAATATAGCAGATATATGTAGCAGAGGAAGAAGTGGTCAAATAAATAGACAAAGGGCTCCAGGGTCTTTCTCTCCTGTGTAAAATGGCAAGCCATGACACAATATGAGAAAATGATGTAATTATCTGAATCGCACCTGATTTAAGCTGCTGAGTAAATCTAAGTACAATTTATTGAAGGTTTCCCTCGGGGATGAGGTGGTGGGGGGAGAGTCTTATGTGTTTTTTCATATCAGGTAATAAGACATGAAAGATAATTGAAATTATCTCTAATCTTAATGTAAGACAATGCTAGGAATGTATTAACACCACTGTCCTTAGAGCTGAGGGAATGCTTTCTACAATGAATTAATTCTTCAAGTGATGTTAATTTATTTCAAAACAAAACAGGATGAGGCAATTATTATTACTGTAAGATGTGATCTGATAAGTTCTTTGTAGCTGCAACAGCACTCTTACTGTCATGTTCTCTGTGTTTGTCACAGCGTGGTTTTCTCCCCAGCTGTGTGGCATTCCAGATAAGATGACGATGTTAGTTAGACTGTGCTTGATTGTTTATGCAGAATCAATTTTGTACTTAATTTCAGCTCTTCTTGCTAAGGTTTAAGCATTTTCTCTGTAAAACTGAATCTCATCTATGCATGAATTGTAACTGTAAATCTCAATTTAGTTACTATCTACAGGTCCAGCAAACAGGACCTTCATTTTTGTTCACAAATCATCAGTAGTTTGAAACCCTAATTGCCTCATGTCCCACCTCTCCCATTATAGAGGTAGATCAAGTATCTTCATAGAGTATGCTCTAACCTGAAAATTTGCATTATTAAAAATATGGAATAGTATATGCTTTGCTTTTCATAAGTTAAATTAAGATTACTTTCATAAGCAGTCCCTGCATAACCAAAGCTCTTTATTATGTAAGTGGCTGCCATCTCAAGCACCTCCAGATCCTGGGGATTCCTCCTGCTCAGGTGCTGGAGCCCAGTCCAGAGGCCCAGGCAGATGTGGCCACTGCTTTCCTGCTTGCAGGTTCAGCCAGTAGTAAAGTTAAACATGTATCCCAAAGAAACCCACACAGGCAAACAGAGGACATGGACCACACCACGTAAAAGATAAGGATATACAGTGTAAAGCATGGTACATCTTAACCTGCTACACAGCACTGCCAGGTATTTTCCAGGCCAGGTAGTCCTACATTTGGCTAGGAGATATTGGCATTCCTGGCAGAAGCACAAGCTGTAGTAGATAAATCTGCTTGAGAAGGCAGAGTAGTGTCTGGATAAAGCTCGTGTTGCACCAATTACTATGGGAGAGTCCTGTTTCTATTTCTAAATGGTGGCAAATCTGAAATTTACTGTAACCTCTCTTTGCAGCATACTCCGTTCTGTTGCCAACATGCTCTGTTGGGTGCCCTGAGAAAAAATGCAAGATGGAGTTAATAAAAACATAAAAACACATCAGTATTTCTGTTTCCTTGGATCTATAGTAATTTCTGTACTGGAACTTAGAATATAATAAAAAATCCTCTGCATAAAATCACAGTATTCTCCCCTGCCTGTGCCCCCCCC